TACTAATAGTAACGGCCTCCAACCCAATAACGATGGCCTCCACCTAATAGCATCCTTGTTACTAGTAGCTTCTTGTTACTAGTAGTCTTGGCCTCCAACCTAATAGCGATGGCCTCCACCTAATAGCGTCCTTGTTACTAGTAGCTTCTCGTTACTAGTAGTACCAACCTAATAGCGATGGCCTCCACCTAGAGACGTCCTTGTCACTAGTAGCTTCTTGTTACTAGTAGCAATGGCCTCCAACCTAATAGCGATGGCCTCCACCTAATCCCGTCCTCGTTACTAGTAGCTTCTTGTTACTGGTAGTAATGGCCTCCAACCTAATAGCGATGGCCTCCAGCTAATAGCGTCCTTGTTGCTAGTAGCTTCTTGTTACTAGTAGTAATGGGCCCCAAACTACTAGCGATGGCCTCCACCTAATAGCGTCCTTGTTACTAGGATTTGCAATTTGTAGTCTGCAATCAGATATTCCAACAGATTCTCCATTTATCGCATCAAAGCTCAGATTGCTCAGCAAGCAGCAACAGGTCCTCAGCTGACACGACAAGACTTGGTTTGCGAGACGAGCAACTGGTGGCTGGTGGCCTTGGAATCCAAACCGATGGAAATGGTACTCGATATAGAATAAGACTGGGGCAATCTGGGAGACCTCGCCGTTAGTTCCACTTCCGAAGGACATTGGGCGGACATGAACACCGCACAAAAGCAAACAACCGACTAAGGGATGAAGAAAGTGGCCAACAGTGACGAAGCAAAATCCAACTTCGAAACAGGCAAATCAAAGGCTAGTGGCTATAGCCTAAAATAGTACGGGCGCTGTAACGAGAAATCCTGTCTACAACTTCCCATATGCAACTTTCGAGATGAATGCTTCCAAGCACATGGTATATAGGTAGCCGATGCTACGATAGTGGTATACCGTATACCTGGACCCGCCAAATACCTGAAGAAAATGGAGTACAAGCTAATACTTGACTTTTTCAGGATTCCTGTTCTATTTTCACTACTTGAAGTCAGCTCCAGGTACCTACCATTCCATGTTTTAGAAAACACCTCGCGTGGGCCGTCCCACACACCACCGTGGCTTCGCGCTGCAGCGATCAGCGCGTGGTCCGAGGGGAACTCCAGCCTCGGACCACGGCGGAAGCAACCGAAGCTGGAAGAGGAACCAACCAGTGGAGGATCCCAAACAAATCCCTAGAGCTCCAAGTACCTTCTGAGAAGGTGTTTGGGGTGGGTTTGTCCAAACACCTTTAAAGCTTTAGTCTTGTAGCCACCCTTAGGGGACCACAAATAGGTCATTCCGCAAAGAAATCAACGCGCGGGCATGTCCGGCCTTCTTCCAAGCTTGTGCTATGCCCTCCGCTGCAAAAACGACCTCATTCGATACATCCTGCGCAGGCCGAGAAAACGACATGCAAAATTATCAATAGGAGGCCAGCTGTTCAAAGCATGAGGGCACTCCCACAAAGCATGATCCCTATAGGGATTGGAAAGACCACACGTGCACACACTGTCAAAGCCTCGTGGCCCTGATGAACGGGCAAATGGCGACTGAACTCCCCAAATCATGAGGGAAAAGAGTCCGAGCAAGAGCACGAGTCTTCGTGATGCGCTCCTCATTGTACGCTGGCAGGTCAACACCGGTAACCTCATGTCTTGTCTCCAGTGCAAGTCTAGAGTACACACAGCGTCTGCAGCTCTCTCGAAGCAAAGGACTCAATTTTTCCACACTCTGGAATGATGTTGCGCACTGTAAAGCCAGAGAGTTAAATCTCGCGCTTCCATCTTGTAAGGTGGCCTTCGAAACAAGGCCACCAGTTCAACTCCAGCAAAAGGGAAGATGCTGGTTGCTCGACCTTCAAAGGCTCTGCGCAACCAAGTCTGCCTCCTTGCCCAAAGCTTGACAACACGCCAGATGTAAGTGGCAGAGGTCTCAAAGGACGCGCCAGCCCCAGCTAAAAGGGACCTCACAGCAGGGTTGGATGATCTCGACGAGCCGGCTACACGCCAGAGCCACTTAAGCCACCACCAAGGTATTCAAAACTTTCATAGCATTTGGGTCTTTGTGTGTGTGGTACATATCTTCTGGCATGATTGAGAAACAGGCACATCAGACAGGACAGATTGCCCCACCAAAGATGTCAGAACACAATGATAGATAGATGTGTCAGAGCACAAACCAGATTTGATGCCAGAACAAGTGTCAGAACATTATGTCAATCCTTGCCAATCACCTTAACTTTCAGGGCTGGGATCACTCGAAGTATAGTTAATGTGGAATTTCGAGATGTCAATTTGGAGCATCATGAAACTTCAGAGTTGGAGTGGGGCAAATATGTTTCTCAACTGTCTTATTCAGCAACTCTCAGCCGATTCACCACCATCAGCAACGTGTGTTGACTCTCCAACTAGCTGCTGTCTGTACTTGTCCATAATGTAGTGCAACACACACACATATATATATTTTTTTTGAATTTGGCAAATAGTGTTCACAAGCCAGTACTTAGACTTGTCCATTACATTTGAGCCCACATTAGCTGTGCCTGCAAGACTGGAAAGGAAGGCATTTAGTCTAGGAACTTGCAATGTTCAACTCTGCCATGTTTTATTTGAACTTTTAGATGAAAAAACCCACACATCATGTGGGATATAAGACTGTACCTCTAAAATTCACCTCTTAGAGTTAGATCAGATTGTTTACTTTACAGTGCCAAAATATATGAAGATTGTTCTGCTCTGTTTTCCTGATTTGTTTTCCATCCAGGTGTGGATGTCGAAGATGTCAGATGGTATCAAAGATGTCAGATGCAGAATGTCAGATCAATCTCTGATTGCTTTTCCGATGTTGTTTCTTGCGGGCTGGGGCGGGTAGTAGGGCGGGCGCACTTTGAAGATCTTTGACATCCTCTGCCAGCTTCTCAGAGCTACTGTTGCAAAGAGTCACAAAGTAAGGCTTAGAGGTTGCGGGATAACAGGCGCAAGTCTTCATGAACTAAAGATTGCATTAGTCAAAGGTTAAGATATTAAGGTAATATCTATCTTACAAAGACTGTTGCACGTCATTGCTCTGTTTGAGGTTTGACCCGTCTTGGCATCTGCGATGGAGGCCTGACATTTAATTTGTGGGATACTGCGCGTGATACTTCTACAACAACTTTGATGTGGGATGTGGGATGAGGCATTTTTGGGATGAGGGTATGTGGGATGTATATGTCCATGTGTATATATATATATGCCTGAGGCTCTAAATTCATTTGTTTCAGAACTTCACTTTTGTTGCAGCCATTTGGTTTCCAGTCCACCTGTCCACTGTCACCTTCATCGTCACCTGTCCTTCGGCCATCATGTTGTGCCTCACTTGCAACCGGGAACTCGGTTCCGGGTTCTGGGGCAAAACCCAGTGGGCGAGACAATCTTGGAGCCTGGATGATGATTGGACAGTTGGGTGCAAAGAGTGATGCTTGGTTTAAGTTGGTTTGTTTTTACCTGGATCCAGGGTGGTTTGTTTGTTTCCTTTCATGTGTTTTCCTGCCTCAGAGGGTGGCATTGAACAAGTACTATAGATGGTTTTGTT